ACATTAAAAAAAATCATTTATCATGACTAAGTAGAATTTATTCCAGGGATGTAAGAATGGCTCGGCATACACAAATCAATCAATGTGATACATCGTACCAACAGAATGAAGGACAAAAAACATATGATCATTTAAATTGATGCTAAAAAGCATTTAATAAAATTCAACAATAAAATTTATCATTTTAAGATAAAAACCCTCAAAAAACCGGGTATAGAGGGAATATGCCTCAACATAATAGCCATATATGACAGAGCCACAGCTAGTATCACACTGAATGGGGGGAAAACTGAAAGCCTTTCCTCTAAGATCTAGACAAGGATGCCTAGTTTTACCACTATTATTCAACATAGTACTAGAAGTCCTAGCTAGAGCAATCAGACAACAGAAAGAAAGGGCATCCCATAAAAATGGATGAGTTCATTTCCTTTGCCGGGACATGGATGAATCTGGAAAACATCATTCTCAGCAAACTGACGTAAGAACAGAAAACCCAACACAGCATGTTCTCACTCATAGGCAGGTGTTGAACAATAAGAACACATGGACACAGGGAGGGGAGCGTCACACAACGGGGTCTGTTGTGAGGTGGGGGGCTTGGGGAGGGATAGCAGGGGATGGGGAGATTGGGGAGGGATAACATTGGGAGAAATACCTAATGTAGGGGACAGGGGGATAGAGGCAACAAACCCCCATGGCAAGTGTATACCTATTTAACAATCCTGCTAGATCTGCACATGTACCCCAGAAATTAAAGTATAATATATATTTTTTTAAAAAAAGAAATAAAGGGCATCAAAATTAGAAACAAAGAAGCCAAATTACCTTTCTTTGTAGACAATATGATCTTATATTTGGAAAAACCTGAAGACTGCACCAAAAAACTATTAAAATGATAAACAAATTGAGTAAAGTTGCAGGATACAAAGTCAACACAAAATTCAGTAGCATTTCTATATTCCAACAGAAAGCAATCTGTAAAAGAAGTAAAGAAAATAATCTCATTTACAATAGCTACAAATAAAATACCTAGGAATAAACAACCAAAGAAGCAGAAGATCTCTACAATGAAAACTATCGACACTGATGCAAGAAATTGAAGAAGACACAAAAAAGTAAAGATATTCCATGTTAATGGATCAGAAGAATCAACACTGTGAAAATGTTCATACTACCCAAAGCAATCTATAGATTCACTGCGGTCCCCATCAAAATATCAATGACATTCTTCACAGAAATAGAAAAAAAATCCTAAAATTTATATGGAACCAAAAGAGATCCAGAATAGCCCATGTTATCCTGAGCAAAAACAATAAAACTGAAGGAGTCACATCACTTGACTTCAGATTACACTACAGAGCTATAGTAACCAAAACAGAACGATATTGACATAAAAACAGACACATAGACACAAAGATCTGAACAGACATTTCTCAAATGAAGACATACAAATGGCAGGCAGGTATTTGAAAAGGTACACAACATCAATGATTATCAGAGAAATGCAAATCAAAAATTACAGTGAGATATCATCTTACTCCAGTTAAAATGGCTTTTACTCAAAAGAGGCAAAAACAAATTCTGGTGAGGTTGTTGAGAAAAGAGAACCCTCATACTCTGTTCATGCGAATGTAAATTAATACAACCACTATGGAGAAGAGTTTGGAGGTTCCTCAAACAACTAAAAACAGAGCTACCTTACAGTCCAGCAATCCCACTGCCGGGTATATACGTAAAAGAAAGAAAATCAGTACATCAAAGAGACATCTGGACTCCCATGTTTATTGCAGAACTGTTCATAATAGCCAAGATTTGGAAACAACCTGTGTGTTCATCAACAGACAAATGGATAAAGAAAATGTGGTACATATGTATAATGGAGTATTATTAAGCCATAAAAAAATAATGAAATCCTGTCATTTACAACAACATGGATGAAACTAGAAGATATTAAGTGAAATAAGCCAGGCACAGAAAGAGAAACCTCACATGTTCTCACTTATTTGTGGGAGCTAAAAATTAAAACAACTGAACTCATGGAGATAGAGAGTAGAATGGGGCTATGAAAGGTACTGGGTCAAGGTAAGTGGGGATGGTTAATGAGTACAAAAATATAGATAGAATGAATAATATCTAGTATTTGATAGCATAACAGGGTGACTAGAGTCCATAATTTATTACAGATTTAAAAATAACTAAAAGTGTATAATTGGATTGTTTGTAACATAAAGAAAGGACAAATGCTTGAGACTACAGATACCCCATTGACCCTGATGTGATTATTACACATTCTGTGCCTGTGTTGAAATATCTTATGTACCTCGTAAATATATACACCTACTATGTACCCACAAAATATTTTTTAAAATTTTTGAATGGCTAACTTAATAGAAAACTAATGAGGAAAACCCAGTCAGAAATTTAAAAGAGAGATCCTATAACTGAAATAGTAATAGAAGGGCTAAATAAGCACTCCACACATCCTTGGCTGACTGGGAAATTAGGCACATGTGCAGGGAAGACCAGTGAGGGCCTAGTGGAAGGTGAAATTGAAGGTGGACTGAAAACTGGCTGTAACTTGGAAGGTGCTCCCAACCCACACACAGAACAACTGGCAGAGGGTGGAAGCCCTATAGTCTCAAGGTGTTTGGGCGCAAGCTCTGACCTGATCACTGACAGAGCACTAAGCTATGTAGACACAGGGACAACCATCAAGAAGTGAGGCTACAAACTAAAAATAATAGTTAAAAAACTGAATGGAGACACAGACAGCTGGATGCAACAGGGAAGGTCTATTCTGCAGTATAAGTTAGGACAGTTACTTTTGTTTTTTTTTTTTTTTTTTTTTTTAAAAAAAAGCCACAGAGAAATAAATCAGAATCCAGAGTTGCTATAACATATGATCTAAAGTGTCATTCACAACAACAAAAAAAAAGTTATGCAAAAGAAAAACTGTAAAAAGAGAGAGAGAGAGAAAATCAATAAAAACTAACTCTAGTTAGTTTGAGCCCAGATATTGGATTTAGGAAAGACTTGAAAGTGGCTATTATAGATGACTTCAAAGAATTAAAATAAACTATATTCAAAGAATTAACAGAAAATACAATGACAACGGCTCAATAAAGAATCACAACAGAGAAATACAAACTATAAGAAACAAATGGAAATTCTGGAGTTATCAGCCATAAAAAGGAATGAAATAATGGCATTTGCAGCAACCTGGATGGAATTGGAGACCATTATTCTAAGTGAAGTAACTCAGGAATGGAAAACCAAACATCCTATGCTCTCACTCATAAGAGGGAGCTAAGCTATGAGGACACAAAGGCATAAGAATGATGTACATTATGGAATACCATGCAGCCATAAAAAACGAGTTTGTGTCCTTTACAGGGACATGATGAATCTGGAAACCATCATTCTCAGCAAACTGACACAAGAACAGAAAATCAAACACCGCATGTTCTCACTCATAGGCAGGTGTTGAACAATGAGAACACATGGACACAGGGAGGGGAGCATCACACACTGGGGTCTGTTGGGGGGGACTAGGGGAGGGACAGTGGGAGCTATGGAGTTGGGGAGGGATAACATGGGGAGAAATGCCAGATATAGGTGACGGGGTGATGGAGGCAGCAAACCACCTTGCCACGTATGTACCTATGCAGCAATCCTGCATGATCTGCACATGTACCCCAGAACCTAAAGTGCAATTAAAAAAAAATGCATCTCTAAAAAATAAGTACCCACATTTTCCAGTAATATTTATTAAGAAGTTCATCTCTTTCCTAGTAATATGAGATGTCATCATTATTAGATATTAAAAGTGCCGCATATGCGGAAAAAAAAAAAAAAGAATGATACAACAGCCTTTGGAGACTCGGGGGAAAGAGGGGGAAGGGGTTGTGGAACAAAAGACTGCAGTGTACATGTGCAGTGCTCAGGTGATGGGTGCACTGAAATCTCAGAAATCTCCACTAAAGAACTTACTTATATAACCAACCACCACCTGTTCCCCCAAAAGCTATGGAAATAAAAAGTAAGTTAAAAAATAACACAATTAAAACAAAAAAGGAATTCTGGAGTTGAAGACAGATCAATAGAAATTATCCAATCTGGAGAACAGGAGGGGGAAAAAGCACTAGAAAAGTGGGCCTTAGCAGAACAGAATCCAGTCCCAGGAATCAAAAGCAACAGCAGACAGAACAAAATGTTACCCAAACCTAAGCTGAAGATTTTCTCAGTTGTAAGCCTTTTATTTTCCTGTAAAATGGGGATAATAGTACCTATACCTCACAGAATTCATATGAGGATAAAATGAATTAAAAATTGTAAAGCACTTTCTGGTACAATGTAAACAAATAATAATTGTTAGCTGCTACCATCATCATTGTCACCATCACTGACATTTTGCTAAGGGAAGAAATCATAGCTGGTGGGCCCTGGGCCTAAAAGTTCCTAAGGAAACTCTCCTACCTGTAGGAAAAACTCCTATAGGCAGCTGAGAGGAAGGCAAATAAATCGTAACTGCTATTGGATAAAAACAATATAGCTCTCAGTTCTTTGATAGGTATTACCTCAACAAATATTTTATAGTTGCTTCTGTACATTTACTTTGATGTTTCTAATCATAGTTGTTTAAAAATTATTTATTCCTTTTTACGATAGTCAAAAGTTTCTACATGAATGTAAAATTCCAAAGAAATTTTCCCCTGTATATATATTCATAACTAGATCTAGAAATAACTCTAATGTTTCCATGCTAATAAGCCTTCTCTTGATATGTGTTGATGCTAGAAACTGGGGACTTGTAATTAGACTGAAGATCTGAATCACATAATATAAAAAGTAAGAGTTGGCAAAACATGACACAGATTTTGCTAAAACAAGATAACTTGCAAGCCAGCTACTCTGACTTGAGGGGACTTACAAAGTTTAATCTAAAGAGACTCTACTTCTCACCAATGTATTTATCTATTTAACATTTTTTTAATACTCACTCTGTTTTTGGAACGGCTTTTCTTAGCCAGAAGAAATCAGACTGTGCTAAATACTTCCGAGTTTGAAGGACATTGCCAAAGTAGTCGGATTCTGAAAACTTGATCTGAATAAAACAAACCACAACATCATTGTTCTAAGTAAAGATAAAAGATGGCTCTAAAAAACATCCTTCAGCATAGGAAGGAGCAACTAGCAGAGAAGCTGCAGTATTCACAGCCTCTCTCAGCTGTTATCAGTTAACCCGGAACTCACAAAGCCATGAAATTTACTCTCAGTGATTTTCCTTTAACTCAAGGAGTTCAAAAATCAATATGGTCATTTCTGGATCACAGTGAAAACACAAGAGAAGCTACAGTCATTTACAATACGTTCCATTTCCTTTCTAATTGAAAAATCGACTTTAACCTTTACAAAACATACTGTCTTTGGTTTGAAATTTCTTGGCTCACGAGCCCTTGATCTTTTCTAAAATGCATACTTTATTTGTCACATAAGATTTTTTTAGTAACATGCAGTTTAGTTGACTGAAACCTCATTTAGCTTATAGATGATGATTTAGTCAAATAATTCGTAGTTGTTCATAAAGAAAAAAATGAATGTGATTCAGAGACCTATTTTCTATCATAAACACAATAAAGTCACCAGAATAATTTAATTATTAACAGAATGTATCTGTTAACACTCAAAACATCTCTGGTCACTAAATATTAATGAAATTACAGAGGCAAATCATAGATTATAGCTTGCATGGGAACACAGGAAATTGGTAGCAGCTCACAACAGTGTTGTCTATTCAGATAGGGAAACAGACATTATTGATTTTTTAGTTCCTTTTCTTGTTTTGGAAGGAGAACAGCAGTTTCCATGATAGGCACTCCATCAACAAAACTAGCAATATTTAACCTAGCTATGTATTGTAAATAAGATCTGTGGACCTGTCAATGCAGTAGTTTGTAGTGACCTCCAATGCTTTGGTTTTTAAATGTATTACTATGGAAAATAAGAAAAATACACATTTGAATAAGGAAATAACCAAGAGTAACCAAATTCTTATTAACTGTAATTTTTATAACTTTAATAATTTTTTAAAAGCACATATTAAAATATGCATGTACATGAAACCCACAGGCATTACATTATAAATATGAATGAATATATGCAATTTGATGGTTATAGGCTTGACAGTCACCTATTTGTTGGCCAGTGTCTGGCTCACATTTAGCTCCTTCCTAACACAGAGTGGCTACTCACGTCTGTGGACAAGCTTTTGTTAATGAGTCATCTTAACAATCTTTCCAGGAGACCAGGCCAAAATATAAAGGAAGGAATAAAATAACCGAAGGGACATGGAGAAAGGCAGAAATAAAAGTATTGATCCCTGGCATCCTCTGTGTTCTGCTTGGCCAACAAATTATAAAGCTATGACTTTAAATTGTCCCTTCCTCAAACTGCTTGGGCGGGGGGAAGAGGGACTGATGAACAAATCGTGGTATATTCACATAATGGAAGGCAATACAACAGTTTAAATGATTGTTCTGTATGCATGAACCTGAAATAATCTTAAAAATTATGCAGAGTGAATAAGTTATAGCTATGAGAAAATATAAAGTTTTTGAACATGCAAAGCCATACTGTATGCTGTTTAAGGATGCCTACCTATGCAGCAAAAGCATAAAGAAAGGCACAGAAGTAACAGTAGTAAGACTGAACTCAAGGTAGTGTTTATATCCAGGGATGGAGACAGACACAAAGGAAGGAGATTAGATCAAGGAAGAGGACAAAATTTCAAATCCATCTGTTTTATTCATTTAAAATGCATGTGTGCGTGTACAAAGCTAATACGGCTAATGTTTAACACATGTTAAAAATAGATGTGTTCAAATTATTATTTTACATCATGTTCCAACAGTTGAAATGCTTCGTAATGAAAAGAAATCTTTTAATTTTTTTTTTGAGACAGAGTCTTGCTCTGTCACCCAGGTTAGAGTGCAGTGGTGCAATCTCAGCTCACTGCAACCTCTACCTCTCAGGTTCGGGCGATTCTCGTGCCTCAGCCTCCCGAGTAGCTAGGATTACAGACATGTACAACCAAGCCCAGCTAATTTTTATATTTTTAGTAGAGATAGGGTCCTGCCATGTTGGCCAGGCTGGCCTCAAATTCCTGGACTCAAGTGATCCACCCACCTTGGCTTCCAAAAGTGCTGGGATTACAGATGTGGGCCACCGTGCTGACTAAAATCTTATAATTGATTGTATTTTAAGATAAAGGTTTTCAGCCAGGGACAGTGGCTCATGCCTGTAATCCCAGCATTTTGGGAGGCCGAGGTGGGTGGATCACCTGAGGTCGAGAGTTCAAGACCAGCCTGACCAACATGGAGAAACCCCGTCTCTGCAAAAAATACAGAATTAGCCAGGCATGGTGGTACATGCCTATAATGCCAGCTACTCGGGAGGCTGATGCAGGAGAATTGCTTGAACCCAGGAGGCAGAGGTTGCAGTGAGCCAAGATCGTGCCACTACACTCCAGCTTGGGTAACAAGAGCAAAACGCTGTCTCAAAAAAAAAAAAAAAAAAAAAGATAAAAATTTTCTTTTAGCCTCAGAAGAAACAGAGTAAGAACCTTGTTATAGAAAGCAACCTTAACTAGCAATCCTAAGGCCTTCCCAGGTCGTATGGTTAAAAGATGTGTCCAATGTTCAATCCTTTGTATTTTTCAGCTTTTGTTCCCAAGATAGCTCTGCCAAAACCTTCAGAATATGATTGTAACTGAGAAAATTCAGGCATGTTCTTGGGTTCAGAACACATTCTGGAAAATTCTCTCAGAGGAATTTCCTTCAAAAATATTAACTTTTTAAAAATAATATCAGTGGAGTCAGTTTTTACTTTTAGAAAACTTGCTAATTGTGATACTTTCATTACTGTTCCATCTGAAAAAAAAAAATCCCTTGACATTCAGGTTAGTCTACAGAAAAACACTAAACAGAAAATCATCTCAAAACTTTCTAAGGTCCAGGTACAGTGACTCACACCTGTAATCCCAACACTTTGGGAGGCCAAGGGTGGCAGATCACTTGAGGTCAGCAGTTCGAGACCAGCCTGGCCAACATGGTGAAACGCTGTCTCTACTTAAAATACAAAAAATTAGCCAGTCATGGTGGCAGGTGCCTGTAATCCTAGCTACTTGGGAGGCAGAGGCAGGAGAATCGCTTGGACCCGGGAGGAAGAAATTGCAGTGAACCGAGATCGCGCCACTGTACTCCAGCCCCTGGGTGATAGAGCGAGATTCTGTCTCAAAAAAAAAGAAAAACAAAACACTTTTTAAAGAAGAAAAGGATCCCAAGTCTAAAAATACTTTAAACAAGGACCTATCAGAACCCTGAACATAATTGTGGGGAGCAAAACTCAGAGGTAACTATTATAATTTGCCATAGCTGATCTACTTTTAGAAAGATAATTTTAAAATCGTTTTCATTATTGAGTTGAGAATATTTCTTCTTTCTTAGCCTGGTTTAATTGATCTATTCCATTTATTTAATGGAAATCACAAGCAACAGAGGACAGGTCTTACTTTTTTCCTTGAGACAGGTTAAGTGTTTGGGGGTAGGCAGGGGCCAGTCACTGTTATTCACATATGATAGATGGGAAACAGGGCTAAAGAGATTATGAAATCTGGCAAAGCTACACTGTCATTTGGCTCTGACTTCAGTGTTATTTTCACTGGTCTTAAATAAGTGAACCAACGATTCAAGGACAAAGTAAGACTGTGGATGGGAGTAGATGCAGTGATTAAATAAATCATGATACAACTTACTTGAAATACTATACAGCTGTTAAAATAATGGTAACAGGCTATAAAAGACAGTAACAACAATATGTTAACTGTAAAGATTGGCATACGAAATTATATATGAACATCAATTACAGCTGTATAGAAATAGAGAAAAACAAATTAAACTGTAACAGAAGTATGTATTATGTAGTAATATTATGAGTGCATTTTCTCTGTTTCCCACATTTTCTGCCAAAACCTTCAGAATATGATTGCAACTGATAGAAAATTCAGGTATGTTCTTGGGCTCAGAACACTTTCTGGGAAATTTTCTCACAGGAATTTCCTTCAAAAATATTAACCTTCAAAAAATAGTATCAATGATATCAGTTTTACTTTTAGAAGATTTGCTAATTATAATAATATTTTGATAATTTTAAATATTTCAAAAGGCCCTTGAATAAGAAAAAGAATTGAAGTCCAGCAACTATTGGGAAAGTTCTGTTTGTTATAGAAGTTGAAACAAGAAGGAATTCACATGAATATTTTCAAGCCTCTTGTAATCTCCAAAATGAAAAAATTAAATTCAGCAAGGGACAATACTTGGCTCAAAAGCCTCTTGTCCTTTCAATTACTGGAAAAAGTCTAGGTCAAGTTGATGATGACTTTCAATCAATTCCATCTCCTGACTTTCAATTGTGTGACCTTTGGGGAATTAATTGGGACTCTTGTGTCATTTCCTAGCTACAGCTGTCCCAATCATAAAATTCAGGAGGACCTACATTTCTCTTCTTGAATATCCTATTCCAGATCCACAGACTAAATGGAAGAATAAAGTTATTACCACCACCACCTCTCCAAAGATGGGGAACCTATAATAAGGGCAGAACAGGGAAATGTGTTCAGCTTCTCTGTAGGACAAGTACATGTTTATAAGACACTACATAGGAATGCAAATGATCCGTAGTATAGGCCTCAGGCTACATGTAAAAATAAGCAGATGAAAAATACTGAAGCACTAATTGTGATACTTTCCCTACTGTGCCAGTAGGAAGTGTAAATTCTAGGACACCCTTCATTTAATTTAAATCCATTTAAAGATACTCAGAGATATATCCAAATATCTATTAGAAAGATTTTATGCTAGGCACCCAAAGGATTTTCTGAATAGTTAATGGAATCCATATTTTATATCTACATCTTCCCTTCTTCAAACAGCAAAGCAATATGCAAGATGGGTGTGTTTAGATGGCTTTGCCCAAAAGTAATGTGTGTATATACGTGTAGGCATACTTATTACGTTGGAGTAAAAGTAACTGCGGTTTTTGGCATTA